TGATGATGATGGTTAAATTGAAGTCGAGTCGACGATAAGCTATTTTTAATTTTTTCTTGATGTTCCAATTGAACATTGGAACAAAAACAGCTTGTAAACGACGACGACGACAACATAACCGCTTTTAATAGAACACCCGGTATGACATCTTTTTTTTAATGTTGTCGCTGGTTTTGATCAATCAGATTTAAAACTTTTTTTTTTCCTTTTGCTTTTTGCTTTTTGCTTTTAAATGTTACTATTTTTAATGATGAGAAAGTGAGTGAGAGTGAAACTGGAACTGGTGATGGTTGTTGTTGTTCCGTCAATTTATGATAAAAAACCTGAATCTGATTGAAAAAAATTGAATTAATGAAATGAAAAGTTTTCGTTTGCAAAAAACCGTTAAGCTTTCCTTTGATTTGATTTAGTTTTTTCATATAAATCTTGATGATGCTTTGGTTTTTGGTAAACATTCATTTTTCATTTTGGATGAGATTTTGATCAATTGATTTTTGGACAAACAAAAAAACCAAAACAAACAAACAAGTGTTTATCTCTCATAAAAGCATTAATAAAGTGAATGTTTTGTTTGTTTTTTGTTTTTAAAACAATCATCATTTGTTTAAAGTTAAGATCAATCGCGGTTTTTTGTTTTCAATGATCAAACATTTTTAGCATTTTTTCCCCTTCTGTTTCCTTTTTCATTTGGCTATTTTAACATCATCATCATCATTAAATTTGTTGTCGTTTCTATTCCCATTTTGACAAGGGGAAGCCAGACCAAAAAACTTTTCGATAATGATGATGATGATGATTATGATGATGACAAGAGCTGGACATTTAAAAGAAAAAGTTTTCTCCTTCCGAAGAAAGCTAAAGTTCACTTTTTTATCATTCATTCAATCAATCGATCGATCGCTCTAGCGATATCATTTGCTTAGGGTTTTTTCCTTTGATTTTTACGAAAAAAAAAATGTCTTCTTCCTTGACCAAAAATGACTTTTAAAAAAAATTATTTACATCGTTCGTTTGATGAATGAATGATTGATTGAAAAACTGATCCAAAATTAGTAAATTATAACTGGGGATCTTGTTTTTTCTTCATCATCGTATTCATGATGGCTATTTTTTATAATTTGCTCCTAAGGCTGTTTTTGGTCCTGTGTTTGGTGTGGATTTTTTTTCCATTTTTAATTGATTTTTTTCGCTTTACATTTTTTTTCAATTTGATTCAAAAACATTGGTGTATTTCTATTCGCGGTTTGTAGTTTCTTTTCAAGAAAGAAAACAGACAAAAAACAGACAAAAAACGAATTTCTTAATCCAAATATTAATTGATTTGATTGAAAATCGTTCGATGAACTTTGTTCAATGAAAAAATTTTCATTTTTTCCCTTATTCAATAAACATTTCGTAATCAAAATTGAAAAAAATTGACTAATTTCTTCAATGTTAATCTATTATGAGAAACATATGGTTATCATTGATCACCAATTGATCACCGATTGGATTTTTTTTCATTTCATTTGTTTCCCACATTGTAAATGACAAAAAAAACTGAAAAAAAATTTCATAATCAAACAATGAACAGCAAAAAAACCAATAATGATTATTATTGGTTTTTTCCCTATTCATTCGAAATTTTTTATTTTCAAAATGAAAAAAAGTTTTCCGCTTTTAAAATCGTTTTCTTTTCTTTTCATCATCATCAACAACATCATTATCAAGATGTACTTTTTTGTTTCGAATTGAAATTAGCCAAATCACCATATTATGCAAATTAATAACATATAAAAACATTAAAAAAGAAAACGATTAAAATGAGAAGAAATCCATTGATTTTTGTTTTCATCGTTGTTGTTGTTGTTGTTGTTTTGAATTTTTATTCAAATTTAAATTTTTCAACACCATTTTAGCAGAAAAATGCGAAAGCAAAATTTTTATTTCAATTTTCAAAAATTTTTTTTTAAAGAAATTCATTTCAAAGTTCATTTGCGTTCGTGTGTTTTTTTTTCATCATCATCATCATTAAAAATTTAGAATCAAACTAAATGATGATTTCGAGAGAAAAAAAAACAACGAAGATAATCTCGATTCGATTAATACAGAAGAAAAAAACAGGGAATCTATTCACTATCATCATTGAATTATAGCTTCTTTGACATTTTCATTGATTTTTTTTTCATTCACACAAAATTTGTTTCATTTGTAAATGTGACAAAATTATTGAGATCAAAGTGTTATTAGGACTTTTTTCGTTTTGTTTGTCACATAAATATCGACAGATTGTTAATAATGACAATTTGACAGCANTATCGATATTTTTTTTCATTTATCGCAAAAGTTTCTTCTTCTTTGTAATCTTCATTGATTCAATGTCATTTGAAGAGAAAAAATTGTCAATATTTCTTTTCTAATGTCTGATGATGAATTGATCAATTTCAATGATGATGATGATGATGATGACCTTTTTTCCCACAACAAAAAAATTTATTGATGATGCTTCTGTGTTGTATGATGATGATAATGATGATGATAATAATGTTTTTTCAAATCGGAAAAAAACGCATCCCTTGATTAAAAAAAAACGGTCAATCAAACAACAATTTTATCATAAAATCGATATTTGATTGAATTAATGATTTTTTTTTTTTTGAAAAAAATTGGTTTTCATCGATATCATTCGGTTTTCTTTTTCCTGTTTTTTTTGGATGTTTTCCACACACAGGACTTTCCTTTTTCCTTATATCAATATCGATCGATCGATGATATTTTGTTCAGTTTTTCTTTTTGATTTGATAACCTTTTTTTCGTCCATTTTTCATTATTATTATGTAATTGAAAATGAAATTAGAAAAACTCCATTTGGTCTTTTGAGCATTCGAAAGATGTTTGCAATGGCTTGAAAGACATTGAAAATTGAAAATGAAAAAACAGTTTATCAATTTCCAAATATGAATATAAAGATCATTAAAAAGGATAACAGCAAAAAAATTGTAGGTGGTGGTAGTGATGCTGGTGTGAAAAAATGAAAACGAAAAACAACAAAAACAAATGCAGGATATTCTTTCTTCTTTTCATTAAGATTTTATCATCATCATTTTGGGGAAAAAAACTACAAGTTACACTAGATACGAAAACATTACAAAACTTTCCGTTATCAACAACAACTACAACAACACATTATTATCATTATGTATTTTTTTTCTCTTTTCTCTTATTTCGTCGTTTTTGAGATAATCATAATTATTATCATCTTTTGATGATGATGATGTTTCACATTGATAATGATGATGATGGTAAATATTTCATTAATATTTTTTCTCATTAATGATGAAAAAAGATTTCAGAGATTAAAAAAAAAATGTGTAAAATATGGATTCAAAAAAAAAGATTTTCCGAAAAGATTTTTTTTTCTGTAGACTTTTCCGTAAATATTTCGGTCATATTCGGAAACTGTAAAATCCAGGGAAGATTTCTGGAATTTTTTCTCGTTGAACCAAAACAAAAATCAATCTCAATTAGTTAATGACTTGAAGGATTCAAAAAAAACAAGTTTTTTTTTGAATTTTTTTTTTGCAAATTTAACATAATTTTCATTCAAAGAAACAAATCAGAAAAGATAATCATTGGCTAGTGATTCATAATAATCAAAAAGAATGTCCTAATTGAACAATAATAATAATATAATCGATTTTTGTTTCTGATGAAATGATCAAGTTTCAAAAACAAAACGAACGAAATTAAATGAAATGTAAATGTAAATCAAACATGATTATTATTCTACATGAAAATGATTATAGCTTATTTCAAAAAATTGAAAATTATCCTAGAAAGTTTTTTTCTTCTGATTTTGAAAATATGCCTTAATTTCGTTTGTTTTTAATTTCTTGTTTTTTGTTTTCATCTCATATCATAGGTGATTATATTCAAGGTGCATTCAACATATCACGAACACCATTATATTGTCTGAATAATCATGAAAAACAACGGCGACAAATACGTCAATCATCATTGATGGATCAATCGATTGGTTTATATTCAACCAATCGATTATCAAACATTGATCAACAACAACGAAGACAACGACAAAAATCAATGCCATTACGTTCGAAATCTACTGTTGCGGATCATTTGAATCAACAAAGATCTTCTGGTCAGCAATCGCAAACAGTAACCGGTCATTGTGAAGAATTACAAAAATTACGTTCAACAGCAATATATTTTTTACATAATAAACAACATCAACGTAGTTATTATAATTTAGATGTACGTTATCCGAATGGTACACAACGTCGTGTACGTTCACGTGATTTACCATGGAATATGAAACAGGTAAGTTTGAAAAAAAATGTTTTTTTAAAAATTTCAATTTAGAAAATTTGTTTTTCCCCTTTTAATCAATCATAATCATTTCAAATAATAATAATTGATTGATGATGATGGTTAAATTGAAGTCGAGTCGACGATAAGCTATTTTTAATTTTTTCTTGATGTTCCAATTGAACATTGGAACAAAAACAGCTTGTAAACGACGACGACGACAACATAACCGCTTTTAATAGAACACCCGGTATGACATCTTTTTTTTAATGTTGTCGCTGGTTTTGATCAATCAGATTTAAAACTTTTTTTTTTCCTTTTGCTTTTTGCTTTCAAATGTTACTATTTTTAATGATGAGAAAGTGAGTGAGAGTGAAACTGGAACTGGTGATGGTTGTTGTTGTTGTTGTTCCGTCAATTTATGATAAAAAACCTGAATCTGATTGAATCGAAAAATTGAATTAATGAAATGAAAAGTTTTTTTTTACTTTTCGTTTGCATCTAAAAAATCTTCTAAGCTTTCCTTTAATTTGATTTAGTTTTTCATATAAATCTTGATGATGATCTAGGGTTTTGGTAAACATTCATTTTTCATTTTGGATGAGACTTTGATCAATTGAAAGCGATTTTGATCAATTGATTTTTGGACAAAACAAACAAACAAGTGTTTATCTCATAAAAACATTAATAAAGTGAATGTTTTGTTTTGTTTGTTTTTGTTTTAAACAATCATCATTTGTTTAAAGTTAAGATCAATCGCGGTTTTGTTCGTTGTTCAATGATCAAACCTTTTTAGCATTTTTTCCCCTTCTGTTTCCTTTTACATTTGGCTATTTTAACATCATCATCATTAAATTTGTTGTCGTTTAGATTTTTCTATTTCCATTTTGACAAGGGGAAGCCAGACCAGAAAAACTTTTTTCGATAATGATGATGATGATGATTATGATGACAAGAGCTGGACATTTAAAAGAAAGTTTTCTCCTTCCGAAGAAAGCTAAAATTCACTTTTATCATTCATTCAATCAATCGATCGATCGCTCGAGCGATATCATTTGCTTAGGGTTTTTTTCCTTTTGATTTTTACAAAAAATGTCTAACTCAGTCACCTGTATCTGATTTGAAACAAAAAATGTCTTCTTCCTTGACCAAAAATGACTTTTAAAAAAAATTATTTACATCGTTCGTTTGATGAATGAATGATTGATTGAAAAACTGATCCAAAATTAGTAAATTATAACTGGGGATCTTGTTTTTTCTTCATCATCGTATTCATGATGGCTATTTTTTATAATTTGCTCCTAAGGCTGTTTTTGGTCCTGTGTTTGGTGTGGATTTTTTTTCCATTTTTAATTGATTTTTTTCGCTTTACATTTTTTTTCAATTTGATTCAAAAACATTGGTGTATTTCTATTCGCGGTTTGTAGTTTCTTTTCAAGAAAGAAAACAGACAAAAAACAGACAAAAAACGAATTTCTTAATCCAAATATTAATTGATTTGATTGAAAATCGTTCGATGAACTTTGTTCAATGAAAAAATTTTCATTTTTTCCCTTATTCAATAAACATTTCGTAATCAAAATTGAAAAAAATTGACTAATTTCTTCAATGTTAATCTATTATGAGAAACATATGGTTATCATTGATCACCAATTGATCACCGATTGGATTTTTTTTCATTTCATTTGTTTCCCACATTGTAAATGACAAAAAAAACTGAAAAAAAATTTCATAATCAAACAATGAACAGCAAAAAAACCAATAATGATTATTATTGGTTTTTTCCCTATTCATTCGAAATTTTTTATTTTCAAAATGAAAAAAAGTTTTCCGCTTTTAAAATCGTTTTCTTTTCTTTTCATCATCATCAACAACATCATTATCAAGATGTACTTTTTTGTTTCGAATTGAAATTAGCCAAATCACCATATTATGCAAATTAATAACATATAAAAACATTAAAAAAGAAAACGATTAAAATGAGAAGAAATCCATTGATTTTTGTTTTCATCGTTGTTGTTGTTGTTGTTGTTTTGAATTTTTATTCAAATTTAAATTTTTCAACACCATTTTAGCAGAAAAATGCGAAAGCAAAATTTTTATTTCAATTTTCAAAAATTTTTTTTTAAAGAAATTCATTTCAAAGTTCATTTGCGTTCGTGTGTTTTTTTTTCATCATCATCATCATTAAAAATTTAGAATCAAACTAAATGATGATTTCGAGAGAAAAAAAAACAACGAAGATAATCTCGATTCGATTAATACAGAAGAAAAAAACAGGGAATCTATTCACTATCATCATTGAATTATAGCTTCTTTGACATTTTCATTGATTTTTTTTTTCATTCACACAAAATTTGTTTCGTTTGTAAATGTGACAAAATTATTGAGATCAAAGTGTTATTAGGACGATATTTTTTTTTGTTTCGTTTTGTTTGTCACATAAATATCGAGAGATTGTTAATAATGACAATTTGACAGCAACAACAATAACAACAAAAAACTTGTCAGCATCATTATCATTATTTCTTTTATATGAATGGTATATGGTTTTTGTTGTCAGGTCGAAATCATGTTATGGATCAAAAATCAATTCAGTTCACATTTCGGATCTAGGATTGAAAAAAAATGAATTTTTTGTTTCATATTGATTTACAAAAAAAGCAAAAACAAAAATCTTATCCATTGATTTGATTTGATTGATTGATTCCTGTGATCGATAATCAATGATGATGATGATTATTATGGTTATTTTAAATATCTATTAATGTGTTTTACACTTGATTGAATTTTGGTTTGTCATTCATTCATTCATTCTTTTTGTTGTTCTCTTTTCGTTCAGGTTGGTTTACTTACTGGTAATCTATGGCCAAATGGTTGGGAACTATATCAACAATTTCGTCCGGTTGCTTTTTTACCATCACGTTTTGAAATGATTTTCATTTTAAATGAACATAATTTTGATCAAGAGTTATCAATTCTGAATTTATATGCTGATAATGAACAACAACAACGTTTTCAATCCAAACGTTTAATCAATAATAATAATAAAAATCAAACAGAAAAAAATTTTGTTCAAAAATCTCCAATCTTAATATGGAATAATTTAGATGCAATTAATTGGAATCAATCATGGAGAACAAAATTATTAGATTTTGAACCACCGGTACGTTTTACCGGTATGTTTGAAATGAATGGTATTGTTTATGCTATTGGTGAACAGATTCATTCGAATTCTGTACGTAGAATTGGAAAAATGTATCAATATTATGTTACCGATAATGATGGTCGTAATTTTAAAGAATTGGTAAGAATCATTCTGTTTGCTTGTAAAATTTTCTTTAATAATTTATTGTTTCATCCTCTATATATAGAATCAAACTGTACAAGAATTTTTTGGTTGTCCAAAATCCAAAATTTCAACAACAACAACAACATCTACAACTACAATGAAACCTTCTGTGACTAGCCGGACATCAACTACTTCTTCTTTTTCATCAATGACTTCGGCAACAAGCCATAGACAAAATCCAATTGTTTCAAAATCAACGACAACAACAACGACGACTACGAAAATGACACCGAGGCCTTCAACCACCACCACGATAGCAACAACTAAAAAGACCACAATGACAACAACAACAACAACCACACCAAAGCCTACGGTCATCACCACAATTTCAACAACATCGACATCATTACCTACTACAATAATGAAAAATCTTGAATCATCATCATCGAAATCTTTTAATGATAATGAAGAAGAATATGATAATGAAGATGATGATAGTGACGATGAATCATCGAATGATATTGATGATTCATTATCATCAACAATACCTCCTATTGATCATATAATTATACCAAAGAAAAAATCTTCATTATCCTACGAATCATCAAATCATTCGATTTCTATTCAACCAAATAATACAATAACCGAAGAATTTGATTCATCCGAAACACCATCATCATCATCATCATCAACATCAGTATTTTTACGAAATTCACGTGCAAAAATTTCATCGTCACAATCGACAATCAATAAATCGATTCGTAATGATAATCAACCATTAGGCTCATCATCATCATCATCTAATTCGGGTAGTAATGTTGTTCGTGGAACAACATTATTATTTCCAAAATTAGCTACAGCTGGTTCAAGTTATCCAACAGTTACGTTAAGAGAAACCGATTCTATTATGTTAACCATATTGATTGCAATCGTAATCGGTGCATCAATATTATGTATTATATTGGCCTGTTTAGTTATTAATGGTAAGTAGTTTTTTCTAAATCAAATCAACAATCTTTGTCCAACACACAATAACAATCATCACGAATAGGAATTAGTCAAATATGAAAAAATATAGAAATGGATAGGATTAACACATTAACCCCTTAAATTGAAAAAAAATTCTTTATATTTTTTTTTGTTCCGTTATCGTTGTTTGTTTGTTTGTATCCTTTCTATCAATACATCAAATCGATTACCTTCCTTTCCTTTCCCTTAAAAAATTTCATTTCAATAAAAAAAATGAAAGGAAAAAAACGTCCACTTCCTCCCCATTTTGAAGGTGGTCATCGTATTGAACCGGCCATACCAAAACCAACAATCATTGGTCTGGATTATCATCGTCGTAAAAATTCAACAACCAGTTCGTTAACACCATTCAATTTTTTGGCTCGATATGATTCAATGAATTCATTAACGGCCATTTATTCACAAGTAAATCATCATCCTGGTTTACATCATTCACATCATTCAAGACCACCATCATCACGTTCACAATTATCACCAGTGATTATTGAACCAACTTCCAGTCCAAATTTACATGCATTACATCCAACTCATCCAACAATGCCGCCACCACCACCACCACCTCCTCCGGTTCCTTCTACAATATCACCACCGACAACAATATCTAGAAATGTTGGTGGACCAATACTTCATCATAAATCTATTTCAGTTAATCTAAATAATCCTAAATCTGGTCATCATCATCATCATCATCATCATAACCATCACAATCATCTTCATAATTCTCATCACAAGAATCATAGTAATCATTATTCATCATCATCTATAGTAGTGAATCCGGAATCGAATCAGATAGCTGAAGAAATACCTGGACCATCAACAAAAGTTGGCACAAGTTCACCATCCAATAATCATCATCAAAAACAACAACAGTCATCTTCCACCTCATCGAATCGAATCAAATCATTTGAAAGATTTGAAAATTTAATCTGAAAAAAACTTCACATTATAATTACCTTGTGCATAATAATTTTTTCTAAACTGTGACAAAACATTTTTTTTATTGTACAGATTTTTTTTCGAAAACAATCACCCAGTATTCTAGTTATATAATTGTAATGATGATTTTTAATTGATTTGAATGTTTTATTTCGGCACATTGATTTCAAATTTTATTTTTTATTGTTTCGATTTATATTTATTAGCGAATAAAGAAAAATTAAGATTTATTAATCGATTGAATTGAATGGCAAGTTTGAATCAAATCTGATCAAATGTTTTTGATGAGAGCCAATAGATGGCAGCACAGGTTCTACAAAAAAAAAAAAAATCGATTCTCTGTATTCACATTTTTCGATAATTATGCAAAGCGCTCTTTTCAAAATTCATTATCAGCAATTTTATAGTTTAAATAGAATATTGGCCATGATCATCATAATTATATATGGTATTATTATTATTATATATTTCGCAATATTATCAACAACGGAAACGAAAGTGAAAAAAAAGGAAGAATTTTAAGAGAAAACGACCACACACACATATATATCGATATATTTTGTTTATAAAGAAATGACAAGCAAGAAAAAAAATGATGCACATGAAAGAGGATTACACAAAAACATTGAATATAAAATTTTTTACCCAAATTCAATCAACGATTTCAAAAATTTTGTCTTCAGAATTCGACTATAATTAACGGTTGTTTGTTGTTGGGTTCTATCAATATAATAATAATAATAATAATAGTGGAAGCGTTTACATAAATTTTTCAGTTGGTTTTTTTTCTGGAAAAAAAAAGTTTCTCACTTCTGGTTTACATTTGTTGTTTGATAAATACCTTTTCATTTGTTGGATTTTTTGTTTTCACATACAAATTTTCTCTTCCGGATAAAAATTTGTAAGCAAAACAAAAAAAAATTGTAAATGACAAAGGAAAAAATAAACAAAAATTCAAATTTGAAAAAATAATGTGTAAATCAATATTAGTAGTGAAGAAAATGAAAGAAATAATCGAGGCGTTTTGTATAGCGCATTCTGGTTGTTTGTGTGTGCGGCGTATTGTGGATGTGTTTTGTTTTTGTTGTATCACTAAGTTTTTTTCCGATTTGTTTTGAGTGAAAAAAAATAGACAAATAAAGAATGATGGTGAATGAATCGAATCGAATGGTATTAATGATTGGTGTGTGTGTGTGTGTAAAATTGTGATCTAATTAATGACAAACAAACAAAAAAAAATTATCGTTATCACACACACACACAGATTTTAAGAGTTGAAATTTAATGATAATTGATGTTTTTTGCTGCTGCTGATGTTGTTTGAAATTTAATCCATATCCTTAGTTCAGCGTATTTGGACCAAAATTAATGATGATGATAATGATAATAAACGGTAAAGATGAAAAGAATGAGAGTCTGTAGTTGTTGTTGTTACGAAAATTATAGCATATGTTTCAATTGCTGCGGCTGATTTATCAATTGTTATTATTCCAATTATTCCATTGCTATTGAACAAATAAAAATTAATAAAGAAAAAAAATTAAGATAAATAATCAAATCTACTTACCAAATTCGATGTATCCAATGTACCAGCAGTGCTAATCGATAATTTATTACTGGAATCATTATTATTATTATTTGATGATGACCAATATTCGGCATCATTAGTATTACCCGTACCAGTGCCCAAATTATGATTATTCAATATGTTTAACATTTTGAAATCATTAGCAACCTGAAAACAATTAAAATAATCAATGATAACAAGTATACAAGAAAACTATTTCACATACCGTATTGTATGGATCAAATGATGAATCATCACCTATACGGGTTCCAGATGGATTGACCGTTGTAAGATTATTTCGAACACCACTTGATGCTGATGTACCAAAAGTATTCAACAAGCCAAAATCATTCGATGTTGATTGTGTTGGAAAAATATCAGCAAAATCTGTCGTACCAAATGGAGGTAAACCACTGCCGGTAGCAACAGATGAAGCAGTTGGATCAGCTGTAAGATCTTCACAATTATCTAACCATCCTGAACCAGTACCAATCGTTGAATTATGTTCACCAAACAATGGATTCGTTGCTAACGATGTAGCCGCCGTAGAGTGTTGTTGATTCGGATTTTTCCGTTGTGCACGTTCAGTTCCAATAGGTGCAGGTGGTTTTATTTTCTGTTGTTGAATACCATTATCACCATTATTATCAATAATAGGAGCTGAAACAGATGATAAATTATTCACTACATCATTTTTTTGTTGTTGATTCGAAGATGAATTCGTTGATGATGATGATGATGTTGTTGTTGTTCCATAAAGATCATAATTTGAAAAATTACCATGATTATTATTATTGATCAATGAATGTTGTTGTTGCATTCGATAATGTTGCATCAATGGTAATGTTGATGTTTGTTGTTGTTGTGGTAATCCAGATGGATAAGCATCGATATTATTCGTTACACCAAGCATTGTAGCTGCTGCACGAAGTTGACCTTGTTGTTGTTGTTGCTGTAGCATAAATTGTTGAATCATATTTAATCTATCAGCAACTGGTGGACCAAATTGTGGCTGTAAAGGAGGTGGTGGTGGTGGTGGTACCGGATGAGAAAGATGTGGTGGTCCAACATTATTATTCAATAGTACTTCATTATGTGCAAAAGAATGTGCAAGACGTGCTGCTGCTTCTTGATGACGTTTCGGTATTTGATTCTGGAAAATATTCATCGAATAATTAACAATCATTTGACGTACATCGTTCGAAATGTTTGGTGCACTAACACCACCGCCAACAGTAGCCATAAAATTAGGTCGACCAACACCAGCTTGCAAATGATTTGGAGCAGCCATATTATTGTTGCCAAAATTCGATACAGTTTGTGCTGATTGACTTAATGGATTCATCTGATTTAGATTCAATGAAATCATTGAATTTGGCTGTGATAATGTATTGGTTGAAAATGAATTTGAACGTGAAGTAAAATCCGGTGCATTCGGATTCAATTGTGATGATCGATTGGATGATGTTAATTTGGAAGAATGTTGTTCATAGATATTCGGTGTAATTGGTCGATGATCAATAAAATTAGCATTAACAGATTGACGATTGATTGGTGAATTCATCGATGGTTGTTGTTGTTGTTGTTGTTGATGACCAATCAATCCATGATGATGTGATTCATTAACATTTGGATTTGAATTAATCATCATATTTGATAAAAGATATGCATTTGAATGCATAGGATTACCATTATTATTACTATTGTTGTTAAGTTGTTGTTGTTGTGGAAATAGATTACCAAATTCAGATGTTGTTGATGAAACAACATTAGAATTCAATAAAAATGAATCAACATTATTATTATTTAATTTGTTATTTGTTTGCAAATGTTGTTGTTGTTGTTGAGAATCACCACTATTATAAAGAACATCCGAAAATGTTTGCTGTAATTGTAGATTTGAATTTCCAGTCGAAATAAATTTCGAACCAATAGTACCAGGTGAACAATAATTTGCAATCGGTGGTGTACATGGTGCCGATCTAACATGTCCAATTGGTGTCGGTTGCTGCTGTTGTTGTTGATGATTATGATGAAATTGTGAATTAAGAGGTGGTTGTTGAACAGGTTGTTGTTGTTGATGATTGATATTATTATTATTAGCAACACATGTTTGTATAGATAATGATGAACCTGGTTGTGCAGCAGCTGATGGTGAAAATGAAACAGAAGCCGGTGATGATGTTGATGATGAAGAATTTGGTGATACAAATTGTCGATTATTATTATTATTGCTACTCGAATTGAATGCAAAATTTGATTGTTGATGTTTATCATCATTCATCATATTCATCATCATCATTGAATCTGTTGTTGTTGTTGTTGATTGTAATTGTGGCGGTGTTGGTTGTTGTTTCGATATGGATGATGATGATGATGTTGAAGATGCCATAGTTGTCGATTTTGTTGATGATAATGATGATTGGCTTGAATTATTTGAAGGTGATAGCGTCATATTATGATGTTGATGTTGATATGAATCGCCAACATTCGACGAAATATTACCGGCTGCGACTGAAGCAAAATTTAATTTTTCATTCATTTTTGTTGATGATATTGTTGTCGTTGATGTTGTAACGGCTGTCATCATCGGTGTATGAGAATAATGTGATTTTGTTTCATTCATCGAATGATTTGTCTCCGTTTTGATCGTAATATGATGATTATTATTATTATTATAGACCAAATGGTTATTGTTGCTATTACGAAATATTTGTGATTTATTCGATGGTTTATAAACGGCGCTTATAATTTTTACACCATTGTTGATTGTTGTTGTATTACTGTTGTTACCATTTCCATTAATTGATTTTGAAATATTCGAAGTTGTTGCCAACATTGTTGAACCGGATGATGATGATGTCGATGACGACGATGATGATGAATTGATTGATCGAGTTTTCGAATTTACAGCCATCGTATAGGAAACAGTATTCGATGTACCTGATGATTGTTTTTGTGATTCGGAATTTTTCGACAATGTTGTTTTATTTGTATGAAAATTCGGTCCAGTCGTTGTATTGGCCGGTGTTCGACCAACCGACTTCGATGCTTGACGTTGTGTTTGATTATTCGAAACAGATGTAGAATTTTGTATCGAATCGGATGATATTATCGAACCAGGAGATGATGATGACATTGTTGTTGATATCGATGACTCTTGTTGAGATACAACCGTATTGGTCGTCGATGTATTCGCCGTTGTTGTTGTCGAATCATTTGTCGGTTTTGATAGACCTAATTCACGAATAATTTCGGATAAATCTTTATCCGCTTCTTTTGATAATACCGTAATCAATTGTGATGCAATTCGTGTTACATCAGTCGATCCACGTATTATTACCATACGATCACCTTGTCCTTTTTGTTTTTCTACTTCAATATGTGCACCGGATATTTCACGAATAGTATTAATATTACAACCAGCACGTCCAATAACACGGCTAATTGCATTTGCCGGAACCAAAACTTTTTTCGATTTTCTTCGTTCAACAACTTCTTTCCAACCGTCTTCACGTTTCATTTCGTTTGTTGTTGTCGTTGTTGTTGACGATATGCTCGCTGCAGATTTATTATGATTTGATAATAAATTATTATTATTCGACAATGTCGTATGATTCGAATTCGAATTTGTTGATTCGAAACGTTGTTGTTGTTGCTGTTGATGATGATGATGATGTTGTTGTTTATTAAACGTTTTACTATTACCGACAAAAGCACCAGCACCACCACTACTACTACTATTATTTCGAGAATTATTTACTTGTTGTTGTTGCGATTGCTGTTGTAAGAATGATTGATTTTGACGATGATAATTTGATGAATTTGTTGTCAATGTTACAGCCGCTGCCGCAGTAGTCGTTATCGGTTGTTGTATTTCAACAATTCTACCCAAATCACCGTTATTGTCTTGATGATAATTCGATCCGGTATTTACACTATTTTAACAGAAAAAGAATGACATGTGATAAAGAAAAATTAAAAAATAAATCCATAAATAACGTTACCTTGTCGTTTGATGTTGATTATTTTGGGTAAGTTCTTGATGAATATTTTTTCTATTATTATTAAATGTTGATGATGATTCATCATTATAAATTAATGTTTGTTTTCGATGATTTTTTATCATCATTGAAGGAATCAATTTTGTTGTTGTTGTTGTTGTCGACGTTGTTGATGATATTTGTGAATGATTACCAGCATCAATCGATGTTCGATTATTCGATTTATTCATCATTTTTTTATTATTCATCAATTCAGCTTTATTATCCATATTTTGTTGATGAATTTTATCATTCAAAATGATCGTATTATCAGCCATTATTGTACCACCTTTTTCTTGTTGTTGTTGATTAATTAGATTCTCTAATTGTCGATCATGTTGTTCATCAATTTGTCTAGATTTATTCTGTTTTTTCTTTTTCATTTTTTTCATATATTCTTGATGATGATGATGATGATTAGAATGATGATTTGTTTCAATATTTTCTTTTCCTTTTTTCAATGATAATGATGAAGAACAAGAATCAACCATTATTGTTGATTGATTATTTCGTTTCAATTTATTATCAGTGGTAGATATTATCGTTGATTCACCATTTGTCGTTGTTGAATTATCTTCAACAACAACCACATCATCATCATCATCTATATTAAAATCATCAATTAATTCCGATGATTTTAAAGGTTCTTCACTACCTTCTTTATCTTCATTTATTGATTTTGATGTACCATCAATATTATCCTCTTCATCATCATCATCATCTTTTTGATTATTCGATGTTTGTGAATTTTTACCCGCTTTTTCTTTTTTCTTTTGTTTACGACGTTCACGTCTTCTTGCTGCTGCTGCTTTTCGATTCTCTTCTCTTGATCTTTCCTGATCAATTTCTTCCAATAAATTTGCTGCATTTTTAAATGCTTCAGCTGCTTGTCGATCTTTTGCAAAACGTATAATACCGGCACAAATACAAACTTTTTTCTGTAATTCTTCATCCTGACAAATCGATAGATAACGATTGATTTCCTGATCCGATGGAAATTGTGTTACATGTCTAACCATTAATTTAACAATTTTTATATGTCCTTTACGAAATGCAGCCATTAAACAGGATATTTTACGATTATCTTGTGAATCAACATCACATTTTGCATTGATTAATAATTGTACACAATCATAATGACCACCATTACATGATAACCATAATGGTGAATAACCTTTTTTATTTTTTGCATCAACATTTGCACCACGTTTGATTAATAATTCAACAAATGTTGTATGTCCTTTATCCGATGCAATTGTTAATGCTGTATCACGTGATGCCGGTACAGGTGATGCATTAACTTCAGCACCTTTATTCAACAGAACTTTTCCAACATCAACATAACCACCGGATGATGCTTCCATTAATGGTGTTAAACCAGTTTTTGCACGATGTTCAATATTTGCATTACGTTCTAATAATAATGATACAACTTCAGTTCTACCTTGAAAACAGGCCAATGTTAATGCTGTATTTTTATTTGTTTCAATATAAGCATTAATATCACTACCACGATCTAATAGAATTTTGGCTGTTTCAGTATGACCATTCATTGCTGCCAACATTAATGGTGATATACCTAATTTCGAGCCAGTACGTGAATTAATTTCAGCACCATAACTTAATAATAAATTTATTATCGATACATAACCACCGGATGCAGCTAAACTTAATGGTGTATAATCCGATACATTTCGATGTTCTTTATTTGCACCACGTGCTAATAATTTTTCAACAACTTCATAACGGCCACCTGAACAAGCTAATGATAATGCTGTATCTTTCGTTCGATCAGTATGTGCTTCAATATCGGCATTATTTGCAATTAAAATATCAACAATTTTTGAATGACCATTTGTTGCTGCTAACATTAATGGTGTATAACCTTTTTTTTCACGATGTTCAATATCGGCACCTTGCATTAATAATAATTTTACTGTTTCTTCATGACCAGCTGAACATGCTAATGTTAATGCTGTATCATGATTTGAATCATTTTGTTGATTTAGATCAGAATATGGTGATTTAAATTTTGTTGTTGATTGTTGTTGTTGTTGTCCAACTGTTGTTGTTGTTGTCGCCGATTGTTGTTGTTGATTCAATGTTTGTTGTTGTTGTTGACAATTTGGTGCAATCTTTTTTATCGTTAAAGATGATGATGTTGGTTTTTGATATTTTGCAACCATTTCATCATTATCATTCATCATTGATGATGTCGATGAATAAAGATCATGTTTTTGTATTTTTGCTGTTCGTGGTATTGTTGTTGTTGTTGCCATTGCTGTTGTTACCGATTTTGAATTCGGTGACTTAAATAGAAAAGGTGATGGTGCTGATGATGATGATGATTGTTTTTGAATCTGTTGTTGTTGTTGCGATTGTTCAATCATCATAACTTGATCAACATTTGTATTATCCATAAATAAACCGGTACGTGCAATAGTTGCTGTTGATGTTGTATTTGTTGGTATTATAACCGTTGTAGCTGTTGTTTGATTCGAATGTTGTTGTTGAGCTATAACCGGAACAAATGCTGAATTTGTTGATTGATCCAATTGATTATTTACCGGCAAAAGATATGTTTTATAATTCAACATATCATTCGATTCATTTGGATTGTTTGGTATTGATGTAGTAGCCATTGGACATATATTATCATTCATCATTAATGACGGTGATGTAATCGACGAATTATTATTAATCATTGTTGTTGTTGATGATGTTTGTTGACTTATAGTAGCAGCAAAATGAAATAATGGTGATGATGAAATTGTTGTCGCTATTGTTGTTGTTGTTGGCAATTGAAAATGATTCGAATCAACATTGGTAATAGTGGTAGTATTACTCGTTGTATTGACCGTATTGGCCATTGAAAAAAGTGGCAATATTTTCATTGGTTGATTTGGATCTTGTTGTTGTTGTTGTTGCTGTTGTTGATATCGTAATTGGGCAGCCATTAATTCTCGAAATAATTTCGGTGAATCTAAAAAAAAATTAACGAAAAATAGAAATTCAACAAAACAACAAAAACAAAAAAAAATTCAAATTTTATAAAACATGCTTTGTATGTATAACAGCTAATCTAACCCAAAGTGATCCGAAACGATCGAAATAGAATCGAATATCGAATCCGGTGTGTGTTTGTTCGAAATTTTTCAAAACAAACAAAACAAAAAAGCGAAAATCGAAAAATAAAAAACAACAAAAACTTACTTGGATCATTATCATCATCATTGGTCGCTTGTGTTTGCTCAACAATCGTATCCTGATTATATTGTTGTTGATGTTCTAATCGTTGTTGTCGTTGAAATAATTCTGTACTACAATTACCTAGTTCACGAAGACGTTCACGTAATAATTGTATTTTATTTTGATCACCAATCGATGATGGTGGTATTGCATTAATAAATTCAATCAATGCATTCGGTAATAATGTATTTGCCGACCATGTTGGTGTTGATTGATGATCATTATTGACGATAACATCTGAACCAACTACATTTGTTCCATTTGGTTCCATTATAAAATTTGTCGATGGAATTACAGCAGCAGCAGCAGAAACATCATCATTAGAGGTAATCGCATTTTTTATATTATCAACCGTCATCGATTCATTGATCATCATCATTGTCGATGATGTTGGTGACGGTGATCTTTGTTCTTCATTGAATTGATTATTCATCATTGTTCCATATGTAGGCATTATAACACCATCGCTTGAAATGTAAAAAACAAGATCAATTTCAAAAGTATCATCCATTGAAGCCATTGTTGTTTGTGGCTGTTGAAGCAACGCTATTCGTGGATATCTAAGATTTTCACGTAACAAATCTTTTGCATATCTATCCGTCGTAAATTTGGCGAATGATAATGCAGCAAGCAATTGATTTTTCAATTCCATTTCTACCTGTTCAGGTGATAATGAACATCGCCATATTTTACGTCGATTATCACCTTCAATTGAATCATTTTTCACCGTTTCTATTGGCGAAACAACATTATTATCATCATTATTATTATTAATGGTGGCTGTATTTGAAACAAGAGCCATCATTTCATTGAATTGTTTCATATCAGCCGTTGATAATAAACGTGAACCAAAATACCAGAAATGTAATTCAATTTCATCTTTTAATGATTCGGTTAATTCATTAATTGTACGAGAACGTACACTTTGTATACGACGAAAGATTAAATCAAATAATGGTTGCATCACCTGTTTTAATGTTGGTTTTTGTTCAACCAATTCCATCAATTGTATCATCGATTCAGGTTTGTTTGGTGATAAAAATGCCCGTGATAATTTGCAAAATACCTGAAACAATGAATTATCCAAATATCCAATAGGTTTGATATCATTATCTTGTATAGCGAAAATAATCTGTTCTGTATAAATTTTTTCCAATTCTTCAGGTGGATGAAAATGATCAACATCGGTTGCTGATATATTCTGCAATGATGTTTTCAACATATCTCCTTGTTGTTGTTGTTGTTGATCAACAATGTTAGTCGTTATCGATGATGAATTACCAGTACCAAAATATAGACAATCCTGTTCAGTTAATGAAGCTGATCGATTCTCTTTTGTTGATTGTCCATCATCCCCAGCCATATCTTCACCATTATCATCATCTTCATCATTCAAATTTTTAGTAGCCATACAAGTTGCCGATGAAGATGTTGTTGGCAAGCAAAATGTTTCACCTGTAGCCGTTGTTTCGGTTGTTGTCGCTAAATTTGTCGGTACATAACCATCCCATTTTGCCTGTAATAATTCTTGCAATTTATCAAATAATTCTGGATTAACAATTCCAAAAAATGATTCAATGATACGTTTATGTCGTAAAAATGTTTGCAAAACAAAACCCGGTACAATTATTGGTGGCTGTATCTGATGATTATCACCATCATCATTATCATTATTATCGTGTGAAGATGATTCTTCGTTATTTGTCCCATCACCATCTTGTTGCTGATTCAAAGTTTGTTCATCCATATTGATCTGTTTATATATGGCTGTACATCGTCGAAAAATATCCAAAAATTTAAGACGAACTTCAAGCCATCCACGCCATAAATCAATTTCATCTTTATTGAGCAGATCATTCACATTGGTAATCACTTCATTGAATAAACGATCATCATCTGAACTGAATTTTCGCTGTTGTTTCAACAATTCGGATACATTATTCGTTGTAATCAACATTGATGGTTTCAACAACAAATGAAATACACTGTAAAACAATGAACCAACCATTTCATTATACAACAACAGACGATTATTCAAATGATGATCGGATTGCTGTTGTTGTTGATCATCAATATCAACCAATTGATCAGGTGATTGTAAAGTTGGATTCATCATCATCATCATCGAATGACTTGGATCGGAAAGACTTCTCGAAGATTTTGTTTCCAATGAAATCTTTTTACCACTTTTTGTCACAACACCGGAAGATAATGTTTGTGATTGTGGTGTTAATGTTGATTCGGGTATACGAATCTTTTTCGAAGCCAATGATGATTCAATCATCATCATCGATGATAATGGTGGCGGTGGTGGTTGTGTTTGATAGATCACTTTATTATCATTATCATTAATTTTAGTCATTGTAATTCGTTTATTCGATGTTGAATTAGATTTTTGATAATCACTTGTTGTTGGTGTTGGCATCAATTTATTTGCCGTTGCTGTTGACGATGATTGTTGTTGTTGTTGTTGTGTCATTTTTTTCTGCATTTTTGCACAAGGTGGTAAAATTCTTGCCGATGAAGAATTTGCCAAATTCTTTTTCGTTTTGGTTATTGTTGATCCCAGATTCTGTTGTAGTTGTTGTTGACCACCATTACCACCAGAATATTGACATGAATTATTTTGACGATAATGATGACTATATTGTAATAATAATTCAACAACATTAACATGACCTTGTTTAGCAGCTTCCATTAACATTGTTGAATTATCTTTCAGACGATGATAAAGATCAGCACCGGATTGTAATAAAATTTCAACAATATCCGTATGACCATTTGAACATGCTAATGATAATGATGTTGCATCATTTGTCATTGTCGATCGGTTAACCTGTGCTTTTTGTTGTATTAAATATGTTAATATTTCTATACGATTATTTTGTGCTGCTTTCATCAATGGTGTTCGACCACCATTCACAATCAAATCAATTTCGGCACCCGATTCAATCAATAATTTTACTATATCAAAATAACCATTTTCAGTTGCTAATGCTAATGCTGTTTCACCTGAACTATTGAAAGCATTAATTTCAGCACCCGAATCAATAAGTATTTTAACAATTTCATAATGTCCTTCTTGTGCTGATTCGATTAATGGTGTATTCGCACCAATCTCTAAATCGGCACCAGCTTTTATCAATAAATTAACAACTTCAGTTGAACCAGCACCACAAGCCATTAACAATGCAGTTTCTTTTGAATCTTCAGTTGTGGCATCAATTTTGGCACCATGCGATATTAATAATGCAACCATTTCTTCATGTCCTTCACGTGATGCTTCCATTAATGCTGTATAACCTTCATCATTAACTTCTTCAATATTTGCACCACGTTCCAATAATAATAATGCCAATTCAACATGACCACCACAAGCAGCTAATGTTAATGGTGATTCAAAACTATCCGGTGGCATATTAACCTGTGCACCAGAATCTAATAATAATCGGGCTACTTCAACATGACCATCCATTGATGCTTCCATTAATGCTGTATGCATTTCTTCATTACGATGTATCATATCATTTGAACCAATATCGATAAAATATTTTACCATTTCTGTATGACCTTTATATGCAGCCAATGTAAGTGCCGTTTCTTTATATTCATTTGAATGAACATTAATACTTGCACCTTGTGATACTAAATATCGTACAACATCCGTATGACCAGCACTTGCTGCTTCCATTAATGCTGTATGACCACTTTCATTTTGAGCTTCAATTTCGGCACCTTTTTCAACCAAATGTTCAACAACAACTAAATGACCATTCTCGGCAGCAGTTATCAATGCTGTACAACCTTGGGAAGACTTTTGATTAATATCAGCATCATGATCCAATAAAAGACAAACAACATCCAAATGACCATTACTTGCAGCTTCCATTAATGGTGTCATTTCTTTTGCACCACATTTATTCACATCAATACGTGGATTTTTTAACAAATATTCTACCATTTCATAACAACCAAAACCGGCAGCATATTGAAATAATTTATCAACATCAGCACGATTAGAATCATCATTTAATGATAATAATCCGGCTACAGTTGCCGCTGATGATGATGATGACGAAGACGATGATGATGATGATGATATTGATAACGCTGATGATGATGATGCCGAAGATGATGATGAAGATTGTTGTTGTTTATTAATCACATCACCATCATTCACTGATGTTTTTTCAATTATTGTTGCATTATTATCATCATCGGTGGTAGTATGACATTTTTTCGACGATAACGAAGTTTCATCAACTATAAAATCATCATCATGATGAATATCTAAATATTTTGCTGTTGTTGTTGTATCGACATCTGTATTTGATGAAGGCAAATTCTGTTGTTGTTGTTGTTGATTATCACTAATTCGCATTTTGGCAATAGTGGCACCAACTTCATCAAATGCACAATGTATATCCGATGAAGTAAATTGTAATTCATGATAAAGTTGTGAATCTATTTTCAAAAAGGAAAAAGATAAAAAAAAATTTCTGTAAACATTCTTCCCAAATAAAAAAAGAAGAAGAAAAACTTACCGGAAAAATTTTGAACATTTTTCCTTCGACACGAAGATGATGATGATTTATTCTTACCATTATCATCACAAATTTCTATTTTTGGGCCACCAAGAATGAAAAAAATCATCAGAAATTACAATCCAAAATCCACAACATCACAAAATCATCTTACCATCTTTATTTTTACGTATAGAACGTGTCATCATCATTGATACCAAATCTATTGGTGGTGGTGGTGGTTGTGTTTTATCCGAAACAGTATTGGCAGCAATAGTCGAAGACATTATTGTTTCATTTTTATCAATTTGTTGTTTAGCGATACGATCCGTTGTTGAAATATCTTCCTCATCCAATGTAAAAGATTCCACCTGATTTCAAAACAAACAAACAAAAAAACAAAACAAAGATGACAATCAATCAATCAATCGATCAAAGCAAAAAACAAAATCGTTACCATATCAATCACAGAGAAAAATAATCAAATTTTAATCACAATACATATGACACAAACATCATCAAATTTGAGCTCTGATTTTTTTTCGAAAATTCATACACAAAAAGTATCAACATCACCAACGATGGTGATGATGTTTTAGGAAGGAAAAAAACTTAAAAAAAAAGTTTTTAAAACAAAAAGAATTTAAAAAAAAACAGAAGAAAAAAAAGAAACTCAACAAACAAACGAAACAAAAAAATGATGATGCGAATAACTCGAAAACAAACAACCAACCAAACGAAAAAAAAGAAAAAACTCGAAGATCCACTAGCGGATAATCATCATAATACCGAAGTTAAAAGAAAATTATTATCATCAGGAAAATGAAGAGAGAGAAAGAAAAAATCCTACACATCAACGACGAAAGCAAACAATGTATAAACACGACGAAGACGATGATGACGACCACCACCACCACCACAACAACTTTCGTATTTTCTCTTCCATGGATTTTCATCGTCTCATGCTCACCATTCAATGATGATGATCGTCAAATTTCATCATCAACATCATCATCATATCTCTTTTTTTGAATTTTATCACCAAAAAAAAAAGAACGAAAATGGAATAATCGAAATCAAAGCAGATTTTATTTGGTTTTGATGCAATTATTATCCACATTTTCTTCTTCATGTTTTTGTTTGATTGATTGCATCAAGTGTGCGATGTGCGACACTTGTTGCTTCAATGATGATGATGCTGCAATTTCAATCGACCGATCGAACAAAAAGAGAAGAAAGAATCTTTCAAGATGCTGCATCATTACATTCGACCTTTTGATTGACAAAAATTTTGTTTAAAAAACATTTTTTTCTTTCCTGTCATTCTCAACAACAAAAAATTTAATTTAATTAATTTCTTAGCCCAACAACAACAACAACAGCACAATCATTCAATTTTTATTCAATTCGACAATCATCATCATCATCATTATTATTGGATGACCAATAATGATGATGATCCATTCATTCATTGATCAGTTTCTAAACTCATTTTTCAAACAAAAATGAAAAAAAATTTCAATATTTTTTGCTTCCTTGATTCATTCAGCGAAAAGTGCTCTGTTCTCATCCACATAAACACAAACACCTGTTTCAATAATGAAAAAAAATTTTCAATCAAAAAAAAAATCCTTCAAACATAAGAGTTCATTATTGTAGTTATCTAATATTTAGAAAATTCATGTCTCACGGACAACATCAACAACAACAAATTTGATTGTCCCAACAACAACAAATTGGAAAAAATTTGTTCCAAACAAACAGCTGAAACAAACAATCATCATCGTCAATCGAAATGGAATAACATTTGATGATTGAAAGAGAGGATGCACGGGAAAACAAAAAAAAACAATCGATATATCGATCACAAAAACAAACACTTTTTTCTCTCATCATCATATCGATAGTGATGGTGTGATGAATCGAATCTATCGAAACAAAAAAAAAAAAAAAAAATTACTTTGACCACATCTATTATCATCATGAATGGGGGGGCTGATAAAAAACAAAAAAGACTTTGTTTGTCTTGTAAT